GGGGGGGGGACGAGGTCCGCACGGGGGCAAGGCCCGAGCTCGGGTGGAGGGGGACAGCGCGGGGTGGGTCTGGACAATGTCGCGCGCCTGCCAGCTGTGCGACCAGGTCCGCAGGTCCGGGTCCGTCCCTTCTTATCTACCTGAGCGAACATGCTGGACCGGGTCATGTACGAGGAGAGTAGATGGGAGGGGACGGAATCTACGAATCCGGCGAGGAAGAGGGAGGGGGGGGGGATTGATGCGACGCAGCATTCAACGTACCGCATAGGCGACGAAGGGGCGAGGGGAGGGAGTCCTTCCTGTATCAGAACTTACTTCCCCCACTTTCTTCCTTTTTTTGTTTTTTCAAACCGGACGGGGAGCTTGCTCGCTTGCTCCCTCGGTCCCTCGCTCACTCACGCACTCTCATTCGCCCGCAGCTTTGGGGCATGGAGTAGGCACCCTACGACCACCACTAATACAACTACTACTACTACAACTTTTACTACTGCGACTGCTCCCCGGTTGGTTGGTTACTCCTCTTACTTCTGCCGCTGCGGGTTGTTTGTAGTCCATGATTCCCTCCCTCGTCGCGCCCTCTGAGATTTCTCGACGGCTGGCTGGCTGGCTCGCTGGTCTTCCCAGGTTCAAATTTTGAAAATGCTACTCTACAACGGAAATGTGTGTATGGTGGATACCTAGCGAGCGGGGGATGCTTCTCCATGATTGTCTTGTGACGGCAGCTTCGTCCTCGTCTTCTTCTTCTTTTTCGTCTTCTTCGTGTGTGCCGTCTTCTTCGTGACCCGAAGGCCATGCTCCACCGCGAGGGAGGGAGGGAGGGTTCCATGCCCCAACTAATCCTCCATTTCCATCCCCACCCCCTTTGCTTTGCTTTCTGGCTGTACTTCTCTACTCTCCGTTGGTCACACTTACTCAATTTTTTTTGTATTGTAGGGGTAAACTTTACTTGAACCATGAAAATGTGAAGATGTTTTCTATTACCAGCGACAATTTACGGTGACAAATTTGAAAGTCTCAATATATATAAAAGGGCACTGTGTTGTTTTGAAGTCTATACAATTCTTATGAAAGTTTTTCTAGTGTTGGTTCTTTATGTAGATGTATGTCTACATGTTTAATAATGTCATATTGATGGTTTTATGCTCTAAGTTGGATATTTACGTTGTACTTTATTTTGTACTTAATTGTGCACTTTCTCTACTTCTCAAATTTCGTTTATTTGTCTATTCACAAATTACATTTGTTTTAAAGTCTTGGCACAAAGTGCCTGATTTTTAGAATTTTAATTTGACTAAAATATTTTTTTCTTGGATCTATCTAATTGAGTAATTTGTCTTGGAAAAATACTAATATATAAGTGATTTGATAATTTCTACCTTGTTTATTCTCTTAAAGGATATATTAAAGATTGTGGTAAACTATTACTTTTAGTTTGTAAAATGAAGAGTGTATAAATATAGTTCTTATTTGATTAATTGTTTGCTATATAGTTTAGACACACATTTTGCTGATATATAGGAATTTGTTTTCAAATCAAATCATCTCTAGCAATGTTGCAAGTGTTAGTATCTTTGTTTTTGCATAGTGATAAATTTTAGTGGCTTTAAGTCTTTAAGTTCTTTTATCCAACTCTAAAATGATGTTAGATACTCTTTTTATATTTATTGCCAAAATTTAAGTATTTTGTCAACTAGATTTTAGTACCATCTTTGTTCTTAATTTTAAAATAAAACCCAATTCTCTTTTTATATATGACATAAAATTGACAATTATTTATTTATTTATTTATTTTATATTGTCATGATAAAATTGATCTTTGTTTCATTTATTTTACTATTGTTTGTATTCACGATTTTAGTCACCTAGTATAAATTTTTGTACTAACCACATATAAATTAGGAATTATTATATTTTGTAATAAAATTTTAAGTCAACATTCTTGCTTATGTTTTATGTTTTAATTTTTGAAATGTAAAAAATGCTCAAGTAGGTGAAAAATCCAAGTTTTCAGTACTTCTCATTTTGATGATTATTATTATTTTTTATTTATTTATTGACAATATTTTTCTTGATTTTGTTAGATTTGAAAATTTTATTTTATTTTTTTGAGCATTTAATCATTCAATAATTATGTCAAAGTACTTATTTTTAGATCAAGTGTCTAACTTACTACAATGATGACACTACAATAGATCACATAACTATTAAAGATGTAAATATTGTGTAGATATTTATGTATTACTTTCATTGTCTTTTGATCAAAACATTTATTATCTTTGTATACTACGTAGTTATTTATAACAATATAATAGGCTATAAATAATATATATACATATATATATGATAATATTAAAATTTCAAGTTGTTTTAAAGTATGATAGAAGATTTTTGATTTGAGAGTTATTTGTTAGTTTTTAAAGATTAGTTATCTAAATGTAAGTAATCTATTAAGTGGGAAAAGCAATTTAATTAAAATTAGGTGTATAATCTCAATCACTTGGTAGCCATTTCCTTCATCTATAAATAAATAATAAGATAATTCAATAAGCATAATGGCTAGGTCTAAAATGAAGACCAAATTAAATATATTTGCAGCAAGTGTAGAAAGATTGTGATTTATATTCATGTATGACAGGCTAAATATTATACAATAAATAAATATATATATATATATATATATGACTGGCTAAATATTATACAATATATATATATATATATATATATATGTTTTTTTAAAGGTTCAATTATTAGTTTGTTTAATTTAGACCTTGATACTTAATATTTTGTAGACACCAATGCTTTCAATATAGATATTTTCTTAAATATTATTTTTATAAATAAGCTTATATGGTTTAAATTTTTTGTCAAAGTTAATAAGTTTTCAATTTTTTTTCTTCTAAAATATCAATAGTTTTTTTTAGCAGTTATTAGAACCTAAGTTATGTATTTAGCTTAATATGTATTTATATTTGAATTTTTTTTGTAGTATTTGATTCTTTATAATTATATTAATAAATTATTTAAAATTATTTATGTATACAAAACTATAATTAGCCAATAATAATATTTTTAGTTATATGTATATATTTTTATATTTTAGGTTTAAGATCTAGTTTTTATTCTTTTTAAAAAACTTATTTTGAACTATGTATTTACAATTTGTTGACAAGTTATACAAAGATTATGTACTTTTTATATATTATAGAATAATTTTTTATATGAATGTTTTTTGTTTAATTTAAAATTGTTACACAATTTTAACAAATGATATATTTTAATATGATAAAATTTATTATTTCAATATTATGTATAGCTATTATAATTTATAATTATTATTATTTATTTATTATCTATGAGTTGTTAATAAATAAGTAATTATAATTCAAAAATAAAATAAAATTAATATTATTAAATATTAAATACAAAAAATATAATTTTTATAGATCAAAAATTAATTTGGCTAAATATATTTTATTATTATAATCCAAATTTTTACTTATTAAGATTATTGATTTAAGATTCAATTCATTAATATTTTATTAATTAATATTTTTATAAAGAATATTTTCATAATATTCTTTTTATAGATGTGAATTTATTATTTTGTTTTAGTCTATTAAACAGACTGAGGAGCAAATTGCTTGCAGTAGAATGTGTCTACGAACATTGGCTTCTTAGAGATGTATTGAAGCCTATTGAAAGGACCAACAATTTATTTAGTCTGTTTGATGCATTCTAATAACACTTTTGCAGTTTGGAAAATATATGTATGTATATATAGATATATTGATGGCTCAAGTTTATATATTTTTGTATTGTATTCAGTTTAGAATACTTAATGTGAATAATTCAACATAAATCTTAAATATTGACACAATAACATATGAAATGTTGTATAATTCAGTACCTATCTCTTGTATCAATTCAAATTGATTAATAAATTTTAATATTTTATTCAAATGTTATGATTTGTAAAATTAGATAATATCAATTATAATTTGATTCTGTTTATATCTGGTAACAAGACCAATAGTTGATTGTATATAGTTGATTGACCAATAGTTAATATACGAAGAAGTCTTGAAGGACAACTAATTCTTTCATTTGGATTTAATTATTTGTGCCTTGTCTAACTTTTCCTCACCTCCACCTCAGCAATGTGGATATCTGACATGTCATGCCTCCTGCCAAGGTGGATTCATGAGTCCATTGACTAAAATGAAAGCTTGTTTCAACTGCCAATGTGAAAGAATATCTAGGAACAGTATATATATATATATATATATATACATGTGTGTGTGTGTGTGTTTACTACAAGCAACAATTTGATAGCTTTTGAACA